GAAGATAATATCTTGCTCTTCTCTCTGCACCGCCAATCCTGCATCCAGTGGCAGGTGAAATGAGCCTCCTGAGGACCAGCAGTGCTCTGCACCCTAATGCCATTTCTGGATCCTTTTTGGGTCTGCTTTACCCTTGAGGGAGGCACAGTCAGAGCTGCCCAGTTTATGGGATTTTCTGTCTGGGGACTAGTGCAGCAAAGCAGTGTCCAACAGTGTTTGCTGTTTCTGCTTTATGTCAGATTAATCCCTTAAAACACACAGCTGGATACACATGGCACCCGCACACATTCAAGGATGGTCGTGTGGATGGAGTGTGAGAAACAAAGCAGTGATGAAGACCCATGCATCTGTTGTATTTCCTTCATAAAGCTTCCTAAGGGCTCCTCTTCCTCATTAGCAAATCAGGTAGTTAGTCAAACATGACAAAAGCTGAGACAAGCCTGGTTTGGTTTAACCAAACAGGCTCACACGCCCCAGAAGTCTTGTCTGATAGCAGCAGAACTTAAACATGGACCCAAACAGGTGGTTTATAGAGATGTAGACACATGAAGAGATGGAAATGTCCAAGATGTGGGTGGTCTCCAAAAAGGTGAGACTTTGCCTGGGAAGGACACAGGTGAAAAATGTGTTAAGGAACTTTGCACTGGACCAGGTGGAAAAAAGCAATGCCTGTCCTCTGGCAGCTATGTTGATAACATTGCTCTGAATGACATTCACCCATTGCCCACCTTCTTGACCAAAAGGAGAACCTGCTGCCATGCGGTTTCTCCCAGGTCACCTCCTCTGTCAGCTCCTCCAGGACAGGAGAACCAATCTGATTTTTCCACTCCTAGCAGAGGGAGAAAGCCTTACCATCAATCATGGCAATCTGGAAGTTTTGCCCTTGGTTGCATGGAAAGCAGGACTTCACTTTGGCTACATGGAGCCTCTGTGCTGGAGAGCGTTTCTGTACAACGCAGAACTCATCACCAGACAGGGATGGGGGGTGACAGATTAGCAGGGCTTAAAGAAGAAAAGAGTTGTACGCCTAATTTGTCATCCATATGAAGAAGAGGGATTAAAAATCAAGGGCTTTGGGATGAGATAACTAAGTAGAAGAACTGATGAGCTTAAATAAAGTGCTGGATTTCACAAGGAGAGAATCACTATGTAATGAGACAAAGGGAAAACAGAAAATATATTCAAAGAAATTCCATCTATTCATACAATAGTCTTGAAAACTTTTCTGATGTTATCAGCGCTTTTTAAAGCCACTGTTTGTCAGAAGAGCCTTCATATGTGATCATTCACCAATGTTACAGCCTGCAGGAAGGCTGAGTGACTTGTTCTGTTCCCATATTTATTAAAGTACTTTACCAGTTTTCTCAGTTCTTTACATGAACTGACATTTTAAGGCTATCCTTTCAGCAAATTGATTGCAAATTTGTGTAACTGGAACTTGCTTTGATGGCTGATTTTAGGTTTATCATCCCTGGCAAATGCTGTTCTAAAGAGACCTTTAAACTAAGTCAGTTACCAAAAATAAAAGGTCTAGCAAAATGGTTTCTCTTTCTGATTTTAAGGTAAGAAAACAGTATGAAGGAAAAGAGATTAAATTAATGAAATAATTTGAAATGTGTCTTTGTCCTAAAATTGAACTGAAAACCTCAAACAAAAAATGCTGAAATTCCATATTGTACATGCTGTTTTAAAGGTAGTGCAATCCGGAAGAGTTCATCCAGAATTAAAAGTTTATTTGATAAAAATATTCAAATGCAATTCTTGTAACTCTCCTCCTACGCAAGTCCATTTTTCCTTCCCAAATGAAATCCCGGTAAAGCTGGCCCAATCTTGGCAAGGCCTTTCATTGACAACGCTCATATTGTAACAGTGTATCACACTAGCAAAGTCTCTGAATCGTTTTCATTAAAAATTTCTTGTGTACTTAGCCTAACTATGGCTTTCTGCCCTTAACACCTTCGCAGCTTCATCCTAGACTATCTAACATTGCATGAAATGGCCTCGTGTGGCTGTAAAACTGCATAGGACAACTTCTTTAGCAAAGCAAACATGCAATGGCTGCAAGAGGCATCTTCTTTATTTTCTTTATATGTTTAGTTTACTGGCATTAATGGAGTTACAGAATCCCCAGTGAGGGCTTTTCACTGATGTATAACATGAAAGAAACGTAAGTTTTATTTTTGGGGCCTCTTTTGGAGTTGGTTCTTCTTCCTGCCAGTTTTCATAGATTGTCTTCAGATGACCAATATGGTCTTAGTTTGCTTTTAACTCATGTATTTCCATATGAAATCTACTTTCTACATGCTAGGAAGCACGAACAGCAGAGTGGATTCAGTCTTCCTAAGGCAAGACACTGGTGCAACCTAGGACAGACATCTGCTCGTTTGAAGAAGCTGTTTCTGACAGTCTACTGACTTACTGCTTGTCTTTAATCCCACCTATATCAGAAAGGGTACTGAAGATAAACTTGAAAACCCACAAACATCCAAGAATTTTCCCCCCTAGTCTCCGGAGAGGACCAAACTTCTTGTGGAGTAAAAATCAGGATGAATTGCTGTGATTGACTTCTGCGGGATTGTCTGGAGTGGACTTCCCTGTTCGCACTCTGTGGCTGTGATTGGGATAAGACAGAAATGTTCCAGTAGAGGAATGAGCATTATACTGCTTGAAAGTCCTGTCTAGGAGATCCCTGAGAAAAGCCTTGCTTCAAAATGTCAGGACAAAAAGTGGAAACATGAGACAGCATGGGTGGCAATCTACATGAGATCCTAATCTTCTTAAGTTTCATGGAAAGATTAACTTCAG